CCCACCATAGACTCCGGTCAATCAAAATGACTATTTTGAACTGCAGGCAGAGTCAGACGCCGATAGGTGGTGGGTTTTTCCGAGCAAACAGAAAAAATGATGAAAGTCTTTTCCCAGTCCGGGATGAAAACAAACTCAACAACACCCTAGTTAAGACCCAGCAATGCACATTTCAATTAAAGAACTGAAGACATCATCAGAAAATGAACAATATGCATAGTATCAAAACAATCAGACTTGCAGTTTTTAACAAGAAGTCGAAAATATCACTTTTTACCAAAAGTGACAAAAATATTCACCAAAATTAGAGAATTGAAGATATCATCACAAAATGAACAAATCTGAGAGAGGTCCACATGTAGTACCTATATATGTAATATCAAAGCAATCGGACTTACAATTTTTAACAAGAAGTTGAAAATATCACTTTTAACCAAAAATGACAAAAATATTCACCAAAATTAGAGAATTGAAGATATCATCACAAAATGAACAAATCTGAGAAAGGTCTACATGTAGTATACATGTATATATATATATATGTAATATCAAAGCAATTGAACTATTGGTTTTTAACAAGAAGTCGAAAATATCACTTTTAACCAAAAATGACAAAAATATTCACCAAAATTAGAGAATTGAAGATATCATCACGAAATGAACAAATCTGAGAGAGGTCCACATGTAGTACCTATATGTGTAGTATCAAAGCAATTGAACTTGCGGTTTTTAACAAGAAGTCGAAAATATCACTTTTTACCAAAAATGACAAAAATATTCACCAAAATTAGAGAATTGAAGATATCATCACGAAATAAACAAATCTGAGGGAGGTCCACATGTAGTACCTATATATGTAGTATCAAAGCAATTGGACTTGCGGTTTTTAACAAGAAGTCGAAAATATCACTTTTCACCAAAAAATGACAAAAATATTCACCAAAATTAGAGAATTAAAGATATCATTACAAAATGAACAAATCTGAGAGAGGTCCACATGTAGTACCTATATATGTAATATCAAAGCAATTGCACTTGCGGTTTTTTAACAAGAAGTCGAAAATATCACTTTTTACCAAAAATGACAAAAATATTCACCAAAATTAGAGAATTGAAGATATCAACATGAAATGAACAAACCTAAGAGAGGTCTACCCAAGGTACATATACACCAAGTATCAAAGCATTCAGGCTTGTAGTTTTCAAGAAGAAGTCGAAAAAGTAAAACATTGACACGAACGACGACAAACGACACCGGACGACGACGGACAATCACTCATATGATAAGCTCCACTCGAAAAAGTCGACAGCGGAGCTAAAAACATAAATTATGAGAAATTTTACATTCCATGTTAACTAAAGCCAATAGTGTTCTCTGATTCCTACATATGTTATGCCATCAAAATTTAAACTATGAATATTAATGACGTTATTTGAATACAACAAAGCACGTTTATCGACCAACACACAGCAGAGATCGTTGCGAGTCAGTACTGCTCCAGTCCATACCTTGCAGAATGATTTTTCTGTTTGTACTAATAAATGTAATTTACTAAAAGATGATAGCAAAAAATGCTGATGAAAATTGTTTTTCTCTGTGTGAACATTTGTGATCAGTGACAGGATTATGGTTTTATTACGAGTTACATGTATACATTTCTGTGTCCAATGTAAACACAGGAAAGTGTTCTAATGTGACATAACATATTTAATATTGGTGATGTGGTTTACCCCATAATCACCTGACATTTGAGTACAACACACAGACATCACAACAACAAATTTTTGTTCTGTTGATTGTGAAAGTTAAAATTAAATTCCCAAAAGTCTCAATTTATAATGCTTGTCAGTATTTATAGAATGTGACAAGATATTATTCTGTCAAAAAATAAGACATCACCTGATTGGAATACCAGCATCTCAGATGGCTTTCGCTGTGCCACCGGATCCAATCAACTTTAGTCCCAGGGTTTGCAGCTTCTCAGCAAACGACACCAATCCTGTCTTGTCAGACACACTCAGTAAAGCTATAAATAGAAAATATTTGTGTCATATTATTATAACACGATATTGATTAGTAGAAATGTGCAGAGGTGTCCATGGCAACAGTACATGTACCTCATAATGTAATGATCTCGTTAAACAATAATGACACCCCCTCCATCAACAGCACCATAACTGAACACATACAACAAAATAGAAAATGAAGAGCAACTTCCTTCTTAAAAGCGGTCTTTATAAAAAAGAAATGCGCTTCTCAAAAATATGCTAGCTATCTCCCAAACTTTCTGACAAATAAAAAATATTATTATTACAACATACAATACTGTTTTTGCTCTATTAATACCACATGTGTAGAGGTGTGTCTACCATGGTCAATCACTAGGAATGAATCAAAGTCAGATTTCAACAATCCAGCATAAAATACAATAAATACATTTTTTTTTGGCATTTGGAACATGTATAGATGATCATCTAATAAAGTAAAAATTAGGAATTAGTGAAAGGGATTGGTTTTGTAATGGTTTAAAATTGGAACATTGTTGAAAATCATTTTAAATATTTACCAGTATAATTACAAATACTTTTAATCCATGACAGTGTTTGATTGGGCAGTGGATGACTGAATGTAATCAATGCCTACTCTACAACGTGATGGGAATCCTGATATATAATACACTAAGCTAGCCACGGCCCACAGGTAATTCTATGCACGCTGCTAAAATCTACTGTTTCAATACATGTACCAGTAGATATTCAAAAATTTTGAAATATATAGAAATATGCACCCCATTCTACATCGTACTATTCAACAATAATGTCTTGTATTATTCATTCATTCTCTGGCTGATGTCCCAATACTAGACAACAGCCACGGCTACGCTAGACCATGGAGCTAAAAAAAGATTCTTTTTTTAGCTCCATGGCTAGACATACAGCCAATGTTACTTTGGCAATCCACTATCAGAAAACACAACACACATG